TATATAGCGACAGTAGTAATGGTGATCATTGCAGTTATTGGAGATACGTACGTCATAGACACTAATCATCTGCAAATCGTCACAGTAAATATGGGCTCTAATCTCTTTGAGCTTCATTAACTATACTCTTCAACTGTGCAGCCATCTTATGATTTTTCCACCAAAGCAAAATTTGCCTTTCGCATCATGTGCATGTTGTAATGCTGTATAAAATAGTTCGGATTTATATCAACTTCCTTGACCTTTCCTCAGTACCTGTTAATGACACAGATAGAGTAAGAGGTAGAAAAATGTAAACAGTCCCATAAAGCAAATAGAAATTTCAAATCGTAGACCCCTCTTTCCACTGTAAAAATGGGTTATACTGTATCTCCCTTCTATTCTCAAGTGTTTTTACGGTAATAAACGCTTTTTTTCTGTCAAAGCGTTATTGCCACATTTTTCATATAAAATTTCATGCGTGTTAATTACCTCCAAATGATTGAATATGTGAAGGTTGCCATGTTCAGCTGTTTTGTAGGTTTTTGCCTCATATCTGCTTGCGAGAGCCCATGGTTTCTTTGAACTTTATTTCATAGCAGAAACGCTTACATCTTCCATACGGGTTCATAAAATGGCAACGAAGCTGCATAGCCCCGATGTCCAAGACGATGGGATTTGGATGACAGCTTCAAGCTTTACAATTTTTACAATGACAGCAGGTAAGGTGTTTTGACCTGCCCTTGAACTTTTTCCCAACTATGATCGGATTTAGGGTTTGGCTTGTTGGAATCGGGACGAGTATCTTCAAAAGATGAGGTAAATGTCATGGTGAAAAACGTCGTGGACGTTATATTCGGAGGTGATTGGCATTTTGAAACGCTGAATTTATTCTGTTTTCAACTTTGTATCAGGTTTAGTACATTGAGCATCGCATTCCATTTATTAATAAAAAATCATGAAGGTTTTCGAACATTAGGAGAAATATGTGCAGATATGAATAAGGTGTTTGGTAACGGTCTCAGCAGACTTGTTTTATGTGCGACTTAGGCAACCTAATTACACAAATGCAATGTGGCAGATTTGTTCATTATTTATGGATAGGTGGCAGTTGTGTTGTCTAAGGAGGACTCAGGTTATGCGAGAAACTTGAGAAAAAACAATTTCAACTCTATAAGGGGACATAAATTACATTATTAAGAATTAATTAATAAAACAGCAATAGTCTTACCTCGAAGTTTCTTTGCGATTTTATCAGCATTTAGTGCAAAACACTGAATCGTTTATTCTACCACCAATTTACGTGCCTATGTGTAAATTTTGAATGAAGGATTAAATGGTTTATATTGGACAAAGATATAGGAGACAGTAACGAATTGAATTTCTAAAATCATGAG